GTGGGCGTGGCCGTTGATGTGGGTGTGGCTGTCGTCGTGGGCGTGGTCGTGGGTGTGGGCGTGGCCGTGGGTGGGGGCGTGGTCCTGGGCGTGTGCGAGGTGGGGCATTCCCACCTTGGTAGGCAGCAATTCACCCGTATCTCATAGTCATAGCAGAGTTCGAAGGGCCCGGTCACGAACTGGTCTTCGTTTTTGCAGATAAACCCAACGGAGAGGTTGCAGTGTACGTTCTGGCCCAGCTCTTCCCAGGAGAGGTGCGGCTCCGTGGCCGACCTGCACTGGATGTCCTCTGGAGCCTTGCAGACACTGTCAAAGGTCTCTCGGTCACCACCATCGCTGCCGCTGCTCGGGTGGTCCTCGTTGATCCAGTCAGTCCAGAAGCAGCAGGGCTCTAGAAGCAACCCCCCCCAGTGGTTATTTGCATCTGGGCAGAGGCACCTTCATGTCTCCATGCCCCGAAGGGCTTGGGACCTCCATGACCATCCTGTCACCACTAAAGGACCAGTTTGCAGGACAGGGCTTAAACTGACTTCACCCTCATTTTACAACATAATATTGAGGCCCAGAGGGCAGAGGCCACCCCGGGCCATGTCTGGGTCTGACAGGCTCAAACCTTGAAGCTTCAGGTAGGCACCCCTTCCGCAGCTGTTCCAAACCCTAGTGTCAAAAGCGGGGGGCTGTGGTTGTGGCTCAGGGTACAGCGCTCACCTAGCATGTGGAGGCACTGAGTTCGATCCTCAGCGCCACATAAAAATAAATAAAATAAAGGTACTGTGTCTGACTACAACTAAAAAAAAAGAAAATTTAAAAAGGAACAAAAGGAGGAACCTGTAGAGCCACAGCTCCAGGAAGGGGGAGTATGGACAGGCCTTGTCTCTACTCTTGGCCAACCGCAGGGTCCCTCACGCAGGTCCAGCCCCTCCTCACTAGTCCCTGGCCTGAGCAGACAGTAAAGTTGCCCAAATACACCATCACTGGTCCTTAAGCAGATAAGCCCACCAGCCTCGCAGGCCCCAAGCAGTGTCCTGGGGGTTCTATAGATTTTGCTCATCTTGGCCCTGTTTGTCACCGTGACACATTGCAGCGTCACTTACTTGAAGCTGAGGGAACTGCAATAGAGAGGGGAAGGGTCTCGTTACCCAGGCCGAGACCCTTTAACTCTCTTCACTTTTCAGTGTGCCTTCCTGTGTCTTGTCACACCCTGGTGGTTTGTCCGGTGTGTCCATGATTTTGACCACAACAAACAGGAATTTAAGGAAGTCCTCTGATTAGGCCTTAAGGGCATCTTTGCAGGGACACAGGCACATGGATGTTACCTTATCTGGCAGCTGATCTGCAGACAGAAGCTGGCCACCCAGGCCACCCAGGCTGCTGGGGAAAGGCAAGGTCCCCAGCAGAGATCCGCGGCCATGGGGCCTCACCTCTGCTGGTGAAGGGGGTGGTGGTGGTGGTGGTGGTGGTGGTGGTGGGGACAGAGGAGGTGGTGGGGACAGAGGTGGTGGAGGAAGTCGGCGTGGACGGGGGTGCCGTGGTAGTTACACAGATGTTGAAGTGCCTCTCCACTGTCCCATTGGGGCCACAGAACTCCCAGTAGCAGAAGACACCGTCCTGAGTCTTGTTGAGAATCTTCCCTGGGGGAGAAGGAGACCAGCCATCAGCGTGGCAGGTGGAGGCAGACTCACTCCCCAGCGCTGCCTGGCAGGTCACACCTGAGGAGACACTGGGTGCCCCCAGTTCCACAAGTGCCCCAGCAGGACCCCTTTCCTGGATCTCCTCCCCTTGAAGAAGGGGCCTCATCAGAACATAGGGGACCCAGAGGGGAGGGGCAGCAGATGTTCACCCTGAGGCACCGGCTCCCATAAGAAGGGACTCGACGTTTCACAGGAGCCCATGGGCTGCTGCACAGCAGAGCAGGTCTGAACATGTCTGGGCACCAAACAGGTAGAACCCAAGAGGACAGCCCCACGCAGGCCAGGCCCATGGATTCAGGGATGGGGCAGGCTGCAGGCTTCCTGCTGCAGAGGTAGCAACAGAGGACAGCTTACCTTCGTCCGGGTGGCAGACCACATGTGAGGAGTCAGTGCACACACTGCAAAGCAAGCACAGTGGCTGCAGGCCTTCTGCCCCTCCCTCCAGGCCTGCTCCCAGTGCAGACCCTGTCCCCAAAACCAGCTCCAGAGGAGCCCCACCCATCAGGTTCTAAATGCGGGCAGAGGCACGGGACAGGTAAGATGGGAAAAGCTGGAACAGGCAGGTGACATTCATGTGCATGAGTGACTGCGTGCACCTGCGGGACTGTGTCCATGCATGAGTACAGGCACGCACTCTGTGTGTGGACGTGTGTGTATGAGATGCATGTGGCTGTGTGCGCACGCATGGGTATGTGTACCTGCATGGAGCAGCATGGGATTGTGTGTGTGTGCAGGCATGTGTGTGCTTGTTGTTTGTGTGTGTGGCGTGCCTGCGTGTGCACTGAGCCCCTGCCTGCCCCTTGCGTTGTGGGCTTGAGTACCAAGATGTGCAGATGTCCTTCGTGGGAACCTGTGCTCCAGGGGGGTAGCGGGTGTCCCCAACATAGCAGCCACACTTGTCCCCAGTGACACACTTCTTCAGGTCCTCATCGTAGATGGGCCTGTCCATGGGGCATCGGGGGTAGCAACCTGGCGGGCACAGGGCAAGGGCTGGACCTCCAGGGAGGTCCACTGGAGCCTCCCCAGCATCCCCACCCGTCCGTCATGTCTCTCGGGGTGTTCCTCTGGCAAGGCCAGGGGACAGAGAGGGCTGGGTCTCCCCACCCTGGGGGTCCTCTGCACAGCCAGCCCCTCTCAGGGCTGTTAGCTGCTGCTTCTCTGATTCTCCTTGAGGAGGTTCAGTGCAGCCCAAGCCCACTGCTCGAAGGACACGTTCTGCCACAGGTGAGCCTGGCCGCCCTCTGGGCCTCAGGTCTCCAGACCTCAGGCCTCCCGCCAGGGTCCCCCTGGGTCTCCAGCCAATGGCAGCTTCAAGCTCCACTGACGCCTACCAGCAGGGCTACCCCTGCCCCCAAGGCCCTCCCTGCTCACCCTCCAGGTAGGACACAGAGATGTTGGAGTGGATGCCGTTGATGGTCCTGCAGGTTTCAAAGCTGCGGTTCCCACACGGCTCATAGTGCCACTCACACTCGTCCGGGGGGTTGTAGTAGTCACAGAATATGGCTGAAGGGAGGCAGGAGGATGGGGACAGGGTCAGACTCAGCAGGATGCAGGCAGGGGCCCAGACAAAGGTGAGGCTGGGATGGGGGAGTGGGCGGGGACACGTCCAGCCAGGTCTGGACAACCCAGGTCTCACAGTGATCCCAGGAAGCACGGGGTTAATGATATACATGCTGTCACGTGGAGGGGAGGGAGTGCCGCCTGCCCCCACCCCTCACTGCTGCCCCTGGTCAGGACAGTGGGCACTCACGGCACAGATCCGGTGTCCTCCAGAACACACAGGCCTCCGCCTTGGTGCACTCCTGGGCGTAGGAGGCCACGGCAGAGCAGAAGCACTCGCAGTCGCCCCCGGTGTCGCAGGAACAGGAGTCCTGCACGCAGGCCTCGTAGAAGACCGTGGGGTCCACCTGAGGAGAAGACGTGGTGTGCCCTGGGCCCGCGCTGCCTTCATGAGGCCAAGACCCTGCGTCTGGCCCTGGTCGTCCCAGGGCTCCAAAGTGACTCATAACTGGGGGTGTCCAAAGGCACCCTGACTGTGCAGCCCTGGGGCTTCGAAGGTCTCAGGATAAGATGGCCATCCTAAAACCGGCCCTGCCCTCTGTTGCCAGTATCTGGGGCCATCTGGTCATTAGCCCCTTACCTGCCTTCCCTCCCTCCATTGTGAGCATGTAAGTCAGAGAGGTATAGGGACGCTGGGTCCAACCAGGAGTCTCAGAGGATCACCTGGTCATCTCCTCATGTGTCCAAAGAGCAATGAGAAAGGGCAAGTACTCCACAGCGAGCCACTTGCCAGAGCTCCCTCAGCCAGGGTAGAGCCCCGCAGCGCCGTGACCACGCCCCTCGCCCGGCCCCGCCCACCCTGCTGTGGCCCCGCCCAGGCCCGCAGCCCCACCCACCTTGCTGTGGCACACGCTGAACACGCTGCTCTTGATGATGCTGCACTGCTTCTCCGCCCAGGAGCGGCGGTGCGGGTTCAGGCTGCAGGGGTCCGGGACGGTGCTCACGTCTGGGCAGGTGGAGGCCTCCTTCCAGCTGTTCCCGAAGTCTAGCTCGCTGCTCACCACCATGTGGTCCCGCGTGGTGAAGTCGTTGCTAGTGCGGTCATCAAAGTTCCCGCACAGGCCGCACACAGTGCCCTGTGAGGAGGGAGCATAGGCTTCACAGGCCAGGCAGCTGGGGGGGCGGGCAGCACAGTTCAGACGCCACAGAGCGGCGGCCCACCTTGTAGGACGGAGCCAGCTTGATGAAGATGGTGGTCTTCTTGTCCCAGATGACGATGATGCCGGAGCTCGCCTCAACCACCAGGTACTGGCCCACTTCCCGCGTGGTGTAGGCCACGTGGTGGCCCTCCTCAAGCTGGACCACTTGCCGGCGCTTGTCCTCCAGCTTCAGCTCCGTCCTCTGCCCAGAGGAGAGGCAGGTCACTAGCAGTGTCCGAGGGTCCCCAAGGACTCTCGGAACCCCAGGGATGGGCAGCACTCACCCCTATGAAGATCTTGATGGCCTTGGAGCAGGTGACACCAGTGGTGCCACAGGGGACATTCTCAGTGATGATGCTGAAGGAGCCTGTTGAGGAGTTCTGGCCGCAGTAGTCCTGGGGGCCAGTGGGTGAGGTCAGCTAGCTCCAACTCAGACCTGGCGAGGGCAGCCCCTCGTCGGGTGGCTGGGGATAACAGTGGCACCGGGGGTGCCAGGGCTGGGCCAGCCGCCAGGGCTGTCCTGATTACACATGCGTGTGCACACACAGGTACTTCAGCAGGAGGGTCACAGAACTAGAGAGGGGGCTTTACCGTGCCCACCCCTCTCCCAGCCCGAAGCCCAAACCTTGACCAGGTGGGGCCTGGGGCAGAGCACGGGCTGGCCCTCCCACAAGGTCTCCTGCACCTCAGAGCAGGTAGAGCGGGGTCCGCGGGGACCGTGGGGACCGTGGGGCAGGGCAGGCCTCACCTGGACAGCCACGTAGGAGCAGTGTCCATCAAAGTCATAGTGCTTCCCGTCAAAGGTGATGTAGTGGCCGCTCCCGTAAATGGAGCAGGTGCCGTGGCACAGGAACTGGGTACACTGCCAGCGTCCCCTCTGGCAGGTGCTGAGAACAGGAGAGAAACCTGATGGGGCCAGAGCCCAGGGCCCCACCCCTGCTCAGACACCAACCTGGCTTAGACCCTGGGTTGGTGGAGACACTCCTGGCAGCCCAGGCAGGACACCGACCAGCACCCACAGCAGCCCAAACATGCCCTGCACCCCACCTCTGCTCCAGGACCAGGGGCAGACAGGAGAGACTGCCCATCGGCTGAGCCAGAGCCACCCCGGCCCTGTAGGACCCGGCAGGGTGCCCTCAGCCAGGCCACTTACCAGGTGTTGTTGCAGTCTAGCTTGATCTTGTCCCCAGGGGAGTACAGGTCCTTGTTGTGGACACACGGGCACTCCTCCTCCACCACACAGCCACCCCGGCCATCATCCAGGAGCCCCTCAGGGCACACGCAGCCACTGACACAGTCCGTATGGTACTGGGGGCAGCAGAGGGGGCTTCAGTGAGACCAAAGCTCCCTCTGGGGGGTGGGAGGACACAGTGGGAGAAGCTCTCCCTGGCCCCAGGCCTCTCCCCTCCGGCCCACAGGTGGGCAGGAAGACAGGTGAAGGTGGCCTGCCTAGAGCTGCTAAACTGGCCCCTGTTCCCAGGGGCCCAGAGGCCACCACTTGTGTCAACAAAATCCAGTATCCATAGGATTCAGCGTCCGGACCTGGTGGACAGGGCATAGAGGAGTCCACCTGCTCCCTTCCCCATGGCTCAGCCAGAAAGGCCCCACCCAGCCCACCCAGCCCACCCACCACCACCCTCCCCAGCACGCACATAGCCAGCGACCAGCGTCTGGCAGCTGGTGGGCCGGGGCTCTCGGGTGGCCAGGGCAGTCAGGTTGTTGCAGTCGACAAGGATCTTTGGGGCCGCACAGCCTGTGGGACAGAGGGGCTGCCTGAGCTCACGCTGAAGTGAGCGGGCACGGGTGGGCAGGAGAAGGAGCAGGGGAGCAAGCCAAAGGGCCGGTGGCCATGCACAGAGCAGCATCCACTTACTCTGGCCGATCAGCTTGACCTGCGTACAGTGCAGCCTCCCATTTCGGCAGACACTGCGAAGGAGAGGGGGTAAACAGGGCCCAGGAGTCCTCACTGGGGACAGTCAAGGGAAGCGGCCCCTCCCAGTCCCCCACCCCAGCCCCATCTGCACCCAGGTCTCACTCAGAGCAGAGCTCCAGAGGCAGACCTGCCCCACCCCAGGCCTCCCTGCCCAGGCCAGACACCCACCAGCGCTCCTCCTGCCTCAAGACCACATCCCCCGCCTCCAGGTAGAGGCCTCGGTGGTAGCAGGAGCACTTGGCCAGGGGCACACAGCGGCCCTTCTCATCCAAGAAGGTGTGGTCAGGGCAGCCACAGCCGTCCACGGGCGTGAAGCCTTTGAGACAGTGGGTTTCCCCCTCAGAGAGCGAGCGGCAGGTCTGCTGGCAGGTGGTCAGGTTGTACAGGAAGATCTGAGATTTGGGGCAGGAGCCCACGTCCTTGTCTGCAGAGAACCAAGGGACCAGAGTGAGGCGCAGAAGAGACCAGCTCCCAGCTCCATCCCGAAGACTGTCCCTGAGCCTCGCTCCATCAGGGCAGCAACACCCCTCCAACCAAGACCAGGGAGGGCAGCCGCCCAGGGACGTCCACCCTGAACTCAGCGGCCACAGCTCCTGACCACCCCCATCCCTGGTCCCTGAAGGTGCCCGCCAGGAGCCAGCTGCAGGAGGTGACCCTCCCTTGGGCCACCCGGGCTCAGGGCCCAGCCTCGGGGCACTCACTGCAGACGCGCTCCCGCCAGCCCCACAGCATGACGCCCTTGGTGGCGCAGGCCCGCGCGTAGGAGGACAGCGCTGCGCACAGGCAGTCCTCGTTGTTCTGACAGTTGCAGGTGTCGTACTTGCATCTCTGGAAAGCAAACGGGGACGGGCAGTGAGGTGGAGCCCTGGGCCCGACCGGCTCCCTGTGCACTCAGCACACACGCCCGTCACCCACTGGGCACGCCAGGCAGGCTCTGGGCATGGCACACGCATGGGGGAGGGGACCGACCTTGTAATACTCAGTGGGGTCCACGGCCAGGTGGCACCTGCCGAAGGGGGTCTCCGCCTTCTTGAGGAGGGAGCACCAGTGCTCCGCATAGTTGGCTGGGGAGGCAGGTGGGAGCCTCAGCCAGGCCAGGCCCCTCACACGCCCGGGTCCAGCGGCTGGCTCGCCCAGGCTGGAGCAGATGTGGCCCCCAGCCCTGGCCCCCTCAGTCCCTCTGGTCAAATACCCTGGAAGCTCTGGGCAGGGTGCACCCTGCTACCCCCTCTCTCTCCACCCCAAGGGGCCAAGAACCACCTGGTGCTGTGGGGTGCTGGGTGGAAGGCTCACTGCCCTGGCTCCAGGCCAGTCTCTGGACGAGGGGCACCACCCAGTCATCAGCCAGTCACCCCTCGCCATGTCACTTGGCAGGCTGCCAACACCCACCCACCCTCACCCACCCCTTGTCCCACCAGGAGCCCCGCCTGCCCGCTCGCTGGCCGGAGCTCAGGGACGGCAGGCCGTGGCGCCCTGCGGGGCCGAGCCTCACCACTCTCGATGTTGAGGGAACAGGGGTCGTCCAGCCAGTCCAGCTTGTCGTGGCAGCTGGCCTGGGCCTTCCAGCTGTTGGCGAAGCTGGACCCCGTGGCCTCCACCAGGCCACCCGCCGTCCTGAAGTCGTCACTTTCCAGGCCGTTGAAGTCCCCGCAGAGCCCTGAGGGGCCGGGACACGGTTGGGAGGGGTGTGGGCTGGGGGGGCACCTGGGCGGGGAGAGCCAGGCGGGGCCACTCACCCTGCACCTGCCCCTGGGCAGCCTGGTCCAGCGTCACGAAGAGCTGCATGACGGGCACCAGCTGCACCTGCAGCCGCAGCCCGAGGGCCGTGTTGACCACGATGTGGTAGGAGGAGGGTTGGAAGATGGAGAAGCTGGCTGCAAGGAGAGCGCAGTGAGGGCACAGCACCCTGGTGCAGCAGGGGCTCCCTCCACCCACGCAGAGGCCCGCGGGGCCCAGTGAACAGGGACCCTCCCCTGCCCGGCCTCCTGGGCCCCAGGCCCCCAGCTGCCCACATCCCAGCAGGTCAAGCCAAGCAGACCAGCTCTGGGTCCCTCCCCTCACCAGCCACGTGGGGCAGGGTCACTGCCAGCTCGTTGAGTAGCACGCTGCCGTCCGACTTGAAGGCCACCACCTGCAAGAAAGGCCAGGGGTGTCCAGGGCTGAGAAGGCTTCAAGGACCCTGGAGCCCTGGGGGGACAGGCAGGGCACCCACGTTCTTCTTCCTGTCTGTCAGCAGGGCCACTGTCTTCAGGCAGGTCTGCTTGTCTGTGGAACCGCAGGGGGCCAGCTCGCCCAGGAGGGTGAAGGAGTCGTTGTGGGCGCCCTGTTGGGGAAGGCGGGAGGGTTGTGGCCCAGGGCCGGGCCCAGCCCTGAACCCAGGGCTCCACAGTGGCTGAGAAGGGAAGCCCATTTCTCCACACCCTTCACCACCCTAGGGACAGCCCCAGGCCCCCTCTTCTCAAGGGCCAGCCAGTCCCCTGCTGCGAGGGCCCGGGGCCCCCAGCTGCACCCCACCCACCTTGGTCAGGACGTAGTAGCAGTCCCCATGAAAGGTGAACTTCTTCCCATCGAAGGTGGTGATGTGGGAGCCACCCTCCAGGGTGCAGGTCCCAGGGCACGGCAGGTCTTTACACACCCAGCGGCCAGCATTGCAGACACTGTCGGCCATCAGAACACAGGGTCAGGGCTCGGGGACGCCCCAGCCTTCCGGGCCCTGTGCCCTGGACCGGCAACTCACCATTGCTCGCAGTCATTGGTGATCTCCTGGCCCGGCACATACAGGTGCCCGTGCAGCTTGCAGTGGCACTGGCTGACGGGGACGCAGCCGCTGCCCGTGAGGTCATCATACACAGTGCCTGGGACAGCACGGGAGGTGAAGTCACCCTGGGCGGCTCAGCCATGCCATTCTCCCCAGGGCGGGGCTGCCAGCCTGGCTCCCACCCCAACTCAGCAGGCACCCTCCCCCCCCCCCCCGCCGAGCACACACCTTCTGGGCAGAAACAGCCGTCCATGTGGTGCTCCTCGCACAGGCTGCTGACCTCCAGGTGTGAGCAGGTGTCCACGCAGGGTGAGCCGCTCTCCAGGTAAACCATGTTCCCGGGGCAGCTCTTGGCTGGAAGTGAAGGCAGCTCCGTGAACAGGCACTCCCACGAGGGCAGAGCCCAGTGGCAGGTGGCCATGTCCAAGGGCCTCAGTCTCGGCCACTGGAGTCACCTGGCTCCCCACAGCTGTGGCCCCTGGGTACTTGGCACAGACACCTTCCCGGGGCTCCCCAGACCCAGGGAGGCTGCCACTGGCTCTGTCTTGGGCCACTTACGGCAGAAGGAGGCCGACCTCCAGTTCCCCGGCCGGCCGCCAGCGTGGGAGCACTGACGGGAGAACTCGGCGAGGGTGCTGCAGACGCAGGCCCCCCCCTGCGGGCACCGGCAGCGATCCTGCATGCAGGCCTGCACGTACGGCTCCAGCGGCAGCCGGGCCTGGCAGTCTTGGAAGGCCGCGGCGGTCAGCAATCTCTCGCACTCAGCACGCTGGCAGGAAGGACGTGGGGGTGGGCAACTGCTCACAGCTCCCCTCTCTCACCCTGCCGCAGGGTTCTCGAGAGCACCCACAGATGGGGGCCCCACCCAGAAACTCTAAGGGCCCCCAGGCTGGGACTCACGTGCTTGGAGCAGGACTCAGGTGCGGGCACCTCCTCGGGGTCCTCGCACACCACCTCAGGCTTATTGATCTTCTGCATGTTCCCAAATTCAATGGCACTGAATGTGATGCCTGGGGGCACAGCCGGTCAGCGGTCAGCGGTCAGCAGCTCCACCCCTGCCTCCACCCCACAGAACCCCAGCCCAGCGCTCACCTTCAGAGAGGAACTCCAAGTAGGACTGCAGGCCATTGAAGTCCCCGCAGAGGCCGCAGGTGTGGTTCTGGAACCTGCTGTCCAGCTCCAGCTGTGGGGAAGCGGGCAGGTGAGTGGGCCCAAGGCCTTGGGAAGCCCTAGGCCAGGCTGGCACCTTAATCAGGAGCAGCAAGGAAGAGGGGCATCTACCACCGAGAAGCAACGTGTTCCGGAGGAAAGCTGAGGGCCAGCCCCCAGGGCCAGACAGCCCCAGGGCCAGGCCACCCCCCAGGGCCAGACAGATCCCAGGGCCAGGCCACCCCAGGGCCAAACAGA